CGAAACGCACTTTCTCGACTGAATATCAGCACTTTACCTCGTTATTTACGCAGAATAATTTCGCCGGCCCTCTTCAAGTCAAAACCGGGGGTAAACCAACTAAAAAAGAACCCTGGGCCGGCGCCCTTTCCGGGAACAAGCGAATTAGTCGAGACATCCTTGAAATTCCTGCGCGCGGGACGCGGCACGTGCGAGACATCCTCGGAATTCCTGCGCGCGGGGCGCTTTTCCGCGTCGCGGTCGGGGCTCCAGACTTCGGTTTTGTTCGAAAGATTCTGCTAAAAGTGCCCCGTACCTTTTTTTCTCACGAAGGAACACGGTGGTCCGCGGACCCCGTTATTTATCAGGGATCCGAGATGAGGGGTCGACTTTCCTCGAGCGGGCACGCGCGAAACGCATTTGTTTCACGCCGAATTGGACTTTACTTTGTTTTTATTGAAAATAATTCCGCCGGCCCTTCCGGGGGGGAATAAACAAACTAAAAGAGAACCCTGGGACTGCGCCCTTTCCGGGAAAAATAGCAGGCGCCAATGGCGACTATCCCAGGGCACGCCTTGGCCGATTGGTCTTCCATGTCCGTCATCTCTCGATGCAACGGATGCTTTGGTGTATGTATAAGAACCACCTTGTCGCGAATCTGAGCGCCTCCTAAGCTTGGCCCGCCGGATACGGTAAGAGAACACATCGTCCAGAAACACGCAAACGCCAACTGGTGCATCGCACGACAAGAATATGAAGAGCAGCACCCGAATACGATGATCCACCGTCATCGCGACGAGGGCGATCGCTGACTCAGGCGACGGTCGCTCCCGCGTGATGGATGTGCCTTGAACTCACGAGGCTTACGCCAAAATGGCTACGGATGGTCCACGTTCGGCTCTTGTGGGGCCACCAGGAATTCCTTTCTGGACTGGTTGGCGGTCGGTGGGGTCCTCCTCCTCCTCCTCCTCCTCCTACTCCTAATGTTATCCGTCCCCTCTTCTTCTTCCTCCTCCTCCTCCTCCTCCTCCACCTCCTCCTCCCGTGGATTCGTCGTCCCTCCTTCTCCTCTCTCCTCCTCCTCCTCATCCTGTCTGCTATCTTTCTCCGCTTTCGCTGCCGCTTCTTTCCTCCTTCTCCTCGCGTTGGCCCTTTCTCATTTCCCTCCCGAAGCGGGAGGTTGCTGGAAGTCCTAGGAAGCTTAGGACACTACGTGAGGTAGCCGGAGGTTTCGGAAGCCGAGATGGGAAAGGAACCCAAGCGGATCGCAGGTCGAATGAAGCCTCCAGAAGTCTCGAAACATTCTTCAGGGAGAAAGGAAAGGCATGGATCCCTGGGGCCGCTGACTTCGCGCCTGGCGTAGTGCGCAATGCGAGGTGCGGTGGTGTTCGCGCACATTCGCGCCCTCGCGCCGCGGCACCGGGACAATCCGCCACCGCGCCGCAGTCACGAAGGGGAGTGCCCCGAGGCTCCAAACGGGAACCGCCGCTTCAGTCCTATGGGCGCATTGGGCGAAGAAGAAAAGAGGGAAGGCGAGGGCCACGAGGAGCCGATGGCGAGGACGACGGGGCGAGCGTGAGGATAAGTGGAGCGCCCCGAGGCTAAACAGTCTGCACGGATTCTGGCCCATCCTCCTCCTCCTCCTCCTCCTCCTCCTCCTCCTCCTCCCCCTCCTCCCCCTCCTCCCCCTCCTCCTCCTCCTCCTCCTCCTCCTCCTCTGGCTCCTCCTCCTCTGGCTCCTCCTCCTCCTCCTCCTCAACAAAGGCTCGACAGTGGCAGCTCTTGTGGCCCAAGCCACGACACTGCCCGCGCGGTCCTGGGCGCGCCTCCGGGGCGCGTGCCTGCGCCGGCCCCCACCGGGGACGGGCCGCGCGCCTCGGACGGCCATCGAGAAGTCCTAGAAGAGCCTCCCGAGGAGCGCCCGAGCGGGCAGCGAGGGCTCCGGCACCGCTTCAGAGGGGAGGAGGAGGAGGAGGAGGAGGAGGAGGAGGAGGAGGAGGAGGAGGAGGAGGAGGAGGAGGAGGAGGAGCAGGAGGAGGAGGAGGGAGGAGGAGGAGGAGGGAGGAGGAGGAGAAGAGGAGGAGGAGGAGGAGGAGGAGGAGGAGGAGGAGGAGGAGGAGGAGGAGGAGGAGGAGGAGGAGGAGGAGGAGAGAGGAGGGAGGGGGAGGAGGAAGGGGGGAGGGGGGAGGAGGAGGAAGGGGGAGGAGGAGGAGGAGGGAGGAGGAGGAGGAGGAGGGGGAAGGGGGAGGAGGAAGGAGGAGGAGGAGGAAGAGGAGGAGGAGGAGGAAGAGGAAGGGGGAGGAAGGAGGAGGAGGAGGAGGAGGAGGAGCATCCACGACGCTCCATGAGAGCCCCAAGAGCACCCCCAAGTGGGAGGCAAGCGTCCCAATGCCTCAAGAAACGCACACGAGTCTTACATCTAGAAGAAAAATAACGATGCACATACAACGATTCTGGCCAGGCCCATCCTGAGCCCAGGATTGGTGCATACGCCCTCCTACCTTGGCCAGGAAGGCATATGCACCGATCCTGGGTCAAGGATGGGCCTTGCCAGGATCGGTGCATGTGCATAGTTCCCTTCGCCCGACTTACATCGTGTGCACGTGGCGCGGCCAAGCGATCAGAAAACACAAGTCTGGCAGGATCGATCGAGCAGAGACTCGTTTCTTGCCCTGGGGTCGCTGACTGCGGCCTCGGCGGCCCCGGCGACGACGACGACGGCGACGGCGAACCTGGGAATGTCTGCTCAATCCTCCACTTCCCAGCGGGGGCGCTGCGACCCCGCCAGGCATCACGTTAACTGTTGTGGGGGAAGTTTTCGCTTTGGGATTATCGACGTGGGGAGGTTCGGGCGAAACGCCTGGCCCGCCCCATCCACACGCCTCAGGGCGCGACGAGGAGCTGCTTGTTGTGAAGAGAGAAGGGTGGCGAAGAGGGGGACGAGGACTAAGAGGGGGAGGTGGATTCAGACATACAAAAAGAGCAATACTAGCAATCGTAAAAATACAATCATACTAATATTTACGAAATTAAACAATCATAGCAATAGTGGTAATAGTATACGGCTGTACTAAGACTAAGACTAACAGTACGAATGACAATAGTATGTTCTTTATTACAAGTAACAATGATAACAATAATACGAACAATAACAAACACAACAACAATAATCACACGAATACTAGCAATAATAACAATTATGATCATAACAACAATTCCCCAATCTGCTTGCACTGAAGGGGTCCGAACCGAGATTGGAAGATTTGGCGCAAGTCCCCGGCCGATTTCGGTGGGCGGCCGGGTTCCTGGGTTCTCGGGTTCCTGGATCCGGCTTCCCAGGTGCCCGCTTACTGCTTCGGGGCCGATTTCGTTAGGCGGCGGGGTTCCTGGGTTTCCAGGTTCACGGTTTCCTCGTCGACCTCCTTATCGATCGGTCTCACTATCGATCTCCTTACCCACCTCCCTATCGATCTCACTATCGATCTCACAGTCGATATCACAATCGATTCACTAGATCGCACGGGCGATCTAACGATCAATCTCACTATCGATGTCACTGAATCGACTTCACTATCGGTCTCACGATCGACGTTCCTATCGTCCTCACACTATTGATCCCACTATCGATCCCACGATCTCCTTCTTCCACGTCAACATCGAACTCCCGGTTCTGGGTTCCAGGAAGCCCATTGTCTGGTTCCAGGCCGATTTCGGTGGGCGGCGGGGTTCCCGGATTTCCGGGTTCCCGGTTTCCTCGTCGATCCACTAATCGATCGGTATCACCATCGATCTCCTTACCCACCTCTCTATCGAGCGCACTATCGATCTCACAACCGATCTCACAATCGAGTCACTATCGATATCACGATAGATCGCACGGGCGATCTCACTATCGATCTCACAATCGATCTAAATATCCATGTCACCAATATTCGCACCATCCACTGATTGAGGTTTCTCTGGTGTAATCAATATCACTATCGAACTCCCAATTCCGGGTTTCCAGGTGCCCGTTTGCTGGCTCCGGGCCGATTTAGGTGGGTGGCGGGGTTCCCGGATGTCCGGGTTCCCGGTTTCCTCGTCGATCCCCTTATCAATCGGTATCAACATCGATCTCCTTACCCACTTCTCTATCGAGCGCACTATCGATCTCACAACCGATCTCACAATCGATTCACCATCGATATCACTATAGCTCGTACGGGCGATCTCACTATCGATCTCGCAATCGATCTCAATATCCATATCACAAATCTTATAACCATCCACTGATTGGGTTTTCTCTGGCGTAATAAAAATAATCATCAGTAGTAGTAGTGCGAACTAATGATAGCAATCAGAGCTGTGAGACAACGATTAACAATATTAACAAGGGGAAAAATAAAATAATGATGGCGGATGGGGCCGAGGAGGGGAAAGGAAAGAAGGCACCGATCCTGCGCCCAAGGTGGGCCCGGCCGAGACCGGTGAGGTACACAGCCGCCGCTCCCGGATTCGACTAGGGAGAGAGAGGGCGGCGGAGGAGAGATCTGGAGAGGAGATCTGGACGCCCGGAATGGGTGCGGAAAGCATGTGTGCAGTGCCCAACATCTGGTTTGTTCCAAAACCAACGGCGGCCGCTGATGGGCGGGCGACCTTCTGTCTCCAATGGACCCTGTCCGCGGCGGCACTGACGGAGAGTCATTTTCAACATGGGCAACAGCTGCTGTCGGCCTTCATACCTACTCTCTCCGTACCCATTGCAATCGTGCCGAGGGGATTGTTGTTGACATCCACTGCCACTGACCTCCCTACAGGAGGCAAAAAGTAGAGGTGTCGACTGTGATCCCAGCCCTCTGAGGGTGGAGTCCCTTGCCGAGCAACCTCCAACTCTCGCATTTCTGAGGATGCGAGGCAGGCACGCAAAGCTTCGCGAGATTCGCGAGGCGGAGGGGAAGGAGGGGAAGGAGGAGGTTGGGGAGGCTGGAGGAGAAGGAGCAGACGGAGGGCCAAGGCCTGGGTCCCGACCCGCGCCCCCGGGCCTTTGCCGACGCCCGCCACCCGCAGCTGGGCGAGGGCCCAGAGAACGTTCGCCAGCCCCTGGGGCGTGAAGGACTCGAGCTGCGCCGACGAGCTCGTCTGCTCCATGGCCAGCCTCTCGAGTCCGCCGGCCGGGGGGGGGGCAGCCGGGAGCTGGGACTCTGGGCACTGCGGATTCCTTCCGACCAGCCATAACTGGAGAGCTGTGGTCCTTGCCCCCCTGGGGGAACCCATCGCATAGACTATCTCTCGAGAGGGGTGTCGAAATCGATGGGCCCCCAGGGGGGTAAGGACCACAGCTCCCCCAGTTGTGGCTGGCCTGCCCTTCGAGGGCTCTGGTCGGGACTTGTGCTGCGATGCTGCCATTCTGTAGCTGCGTCGGTTTGCAAGGACCGCCGCCGTGCCTGGCCAGGGCCAGCCTGGACCCTGGCAGCGCCCTCCTGGCCGGGGCCAGGCGGGCCTGCGCACATCATCCGTATGGGCCGAAATGGTTCTGGGCACGCACGATGGCAGTGCACAGTCAACCCGCGTAACAAGGACGCACGATCAGGATGCCAGGGGCTTGAAGTCCATGTCGACGCTTTGCGAGCGGGGCGCGGCCAGCGAAAACGGCCAGGGATGGGCCGAAGGGGAAGGATCCAAGGTCAACCTTGGGAAGTTGCTCATCCTTGCTGTGCGGGTTGACTGAAACTCGGGCTTCCTGCGGCCGTTCGGGACGATTCTGGCAACCCCGGAACGCCCTCGACGAGGCGCAGCTGATGGAAGCCACCCCGGGCCTCGGAGAACAGCTCGCGAGAATTCTCGCGAACGACTGGAGAAGCTCCGAGAATCGAAGCCTCCTCCCCTGGACATCGGGATCCTCCTGCGGATCGCAGGAGCGCGCGTGGCCCAGGATCTGACTACCGACCAGACCACCCAACCCGAAGACCCGAATTTCGGGTTGGGGGGGGACGGGCTTCATATGCGTTTGTTCCTAACCATTTTGAAGAGACAGCGCCCCGCGTCTCTTTTCCTCCTTCCTCCTTCCTCCTCCCCCTGCGTGCCTCTGACCTCCGCATGCCCATTCCGGCACACCCCTCACACGGTTCGTGGTCCCATAAGGAGCTCCACCGAAGGCCCAAGTGGCTGCGTTCGCATGGCACCACCGCACCCATTTCGGCACACCCCTCACACGTGTCGTGGCCCCATAGGGAGCCCCACCGAAGGCCCAAGTGGCTGCGTTCGCATGCCACCACTGCACCCATTTCGGCACACCCCTCGCACGTTGCGTGGCTCTATAGGGAGCTCCACCGAAGGCCCAAGTGGCTGCGTTCGCATGGCACCACCGCACCCATGTCGGCACACCCCTCACAGGTTTCGTGGCCTCATGGGGAGCCCCACCGAAGGTCTGACAACATAGAGGGCTCCACCGAAAGCCCAAGTGGCTGCGTTCGCATGGCACCACCGCACCCATGTCGGCACACCCTTCACAGGTTTCGTGGCCTCATGGGGAGCCCCACCGAAGGCCCAGGTGGCTGCGTTCGCATGGCACCACCACACCCGTTCCGGCACGCCCCTCATACGTTTCGTGGCCCCATCGGAAGCCCCATCAAAGGCCCTGGTGGCTGCGTTCGCATGGCACCACCGCACCCATTTCGGCACAACCCTCGCACGTTTCGTGGCCCCATAGGGAGCCCCACCGAAGGCCCAAGTGGCTGCGTTAGCATGGCACCACCGCACACATGTCGGCGCACCCCTCACATGTGTCGTGGCCCCATCGGGAGCTCCATCAAAGGCCCTGGTGGCTGCGTTCGCATGGCACCACCGCACCCATTTCGGCACACCCCTCACACGTTTAGTGGTCCCATGGGGAACACCACCGAAGGCCCAGGTGGCTGCGTTCGCATGGCCCCACCGTACCCCTTTCGGCACGCCCCTCACACGCTTCGTGGCCCCATCGGGAGCCCCACCGAAGGTCCAAGTGGCTGCGTTCGCATGGCACCACCGCACCCATGTCGGCACGCCCCTCACACGTTTCGTGGCCCCATCGGGAGCCCCACCGAAGGCCCAGATAGCTGCGTTCGCATGGCACCACCGCACCCATTTCGGCACACCCTCACACGTTTCGTGGCCCCATCGGGAGCCCCACCGAAAGCCTTCGCATGGCACCACCGCACCCATGTCGGCACACCCCTCACACGTTTCGTGGCCCAGAAGCGTCCATTACATGTGCGGTTCGCGGTCCCATAGGGAGGCCTGTCGAAAGATGGACCCACAACGCGGTACCTACAGCTGCTTATGAATGGGTCCTTCGCCAGGATACTTCAGACGTTCCCCCAGGGGGGGGGGGTGCGAGGGCCTGCGCCGATCGGCAAAACAATTAATAACATGATCGCCCCACGAACCCGGGAAAAAAAACAGAAATGTAAGACATGGCAACGTTTCAAAGACACCTGATTGGGCGACGGGCAAATGAAATGCTTAATGTATCGATCTTGATGTACCGTGCCGAGGGCTGTGCTGTGCTGCGCCGTGCTGAACTGCGATGTGCCATGCCGCGGGTGTGCTCTATAGCGTCGTGGATCGAGTCCTCCTTTGCATCCGAGTCCTGACCGAACTGATCTGGATCTTAGCCTCGAGTTGCCTGAGCACATGGTAGCTGGCCCAGAGCTAATTGACAGGGGAAGCATGCAGGAAGACGCGCCGCGGAAAGTTCCAAGGGACGCGCCAGGCGACGTGCCAGGGGACGTGCCATGGGTACGCACAGCGGGACGTACCAAGGGGACGCGCTACGGAACGTGCCAATGGACGTGCCACGGGACGTGCCAGGGGACGCGCCGAGCGACGTGCCAGGGGGAATCGCCACAGGACGCGCCACGGAACGTGCCAAAGAAAATGCCAGGTTGCAATGCTGAGTGAATGTATCGATCTTGATGTACCGTGCCGAGAGCTATGCTGTGCTGCGCCGTGCTGAACTGCGATGTGCCATGCCGCGAATGTGCTCTATAGTGTTGTGGATCGAGTCCTCCGTTGCATCCGAGTTCTGACCGAACTGATCTGGATCTTAAGCTCGAGCTGCCCGAGCACATAGTCCACATAGCAGCTGCCCCAGAGCTAACTGACAGGGGAACATGCCAGGAAGACGCGCCGCGGAACGCTCCAAGGGACGTGTCAAGCGACGTGCCAAGGGGACGCGCTACAGAACGTGCTGGGGACAAGCGTCGTGCTGGTGGCCTGGACACGTGAAAACACATGGTGCCAACTCGGGGCAACCATGTTAGATACGCCCTGGGTGGCCTGGACATGTACAAACACGTGGTTCCAGCTCGGGACAATCATGTTAGAGATCTCCCTGCGTGGCCAGAGCATGAAAAATACGTGGTTCCAGCTCGGGACAGCAATGTTAGATACCCCCCTGCGTGACCTGGATACGCTAAATTCGCGCTCCCGCTCGAGACATCCTCGCAATGACTTCCCTGGAGAGGCCCCCAAAGCGCCACCCCCTGTCCAGAGCAAGAAAGCATCACTTTCCTGGATTGGGACACGTGTTCGGGTAGCGCTTTTCGTCCCCCCGTACGTTTCCTCATGATTCGGCGCTGGGCCCGACGCCATGTTAGATACCCCTCTGGGCGGCCTGGACACGTAAAAACGTGGGTGCCAGCTCTGGACAACCATCTTAGATTCACCCCTGGGTGGCCTGGACATGTTAAAACACATGGTTCCAGCTCGGGACAACCATGTTAGATGCCCCCCGGGGTGGCCTGGACACGTAAAAACACGTGGTGCCAGCTCGAGACAACCATGTTAGAAACACCCCTGAGTGGCCTGGACACGTTAAAACACGTGGTCTTTGCTCGTGACAATCATGTTAGATACCCCCCTGGGTGGCCAGGACATGTAAAAACACGTGGCTCCAGCTCGGGACAACCATGTTAGATACCCCCCTGCGTGGCCTGGATACACTGAATTCGCGCTCCCGCTCGAGACACCCTCGCAATGTCTTCCCTGGGGAGGCCCCCAAAGCGCTACCCCCTGTCCAGAGCAAGAAAACATCTCTGGGACATGTGTTCGGGTAGCGCTTTTCGGCCCCCCGTGCGTTTTCTGATAATTCGGCGTTGGGCCCGACGCCATGTTGCATATCCCCACTGGGCGGCCTGGACACGTAAAAACAGGCGGTTCCAGTTAGGAAACAATTAGATACCTCCCTGGGTGGCCTGGACACAGGACCACTATGTTAGATACCCCCCCTGGGTGGCCTGAACATGTAAAAAAACGTGGTTCCAGCTCGGGACCACCATGTTAGATGCATCCCTGGGTGGGCTGGACACGTCGCTCGTAACATGGTGGGCTGGACACGCGAAAACACGTGATTCCAGCTCGGGACCACCATGTTATGTACCCCCCTGATGGCCTGCACACGTAAAAACTCAAGGCTCCAGCCCACCCAGGGGGGATATCCAACATGCGGTCGTCTGAGGCGCCAGCGACGGACAACCATGTTGGAGACCCCCTCTGGCCGACCTGGGCACGTGAAAACAAGCATTTCGCCTGAGACATCCGAGGTGAAAAACAAGCGTTTCGCTCGGGACATGCTCAAATTTTAATTCGCCGGCCCTACGCGACCTCGTTCTTTACTAAGCATTTTCTTAGGGTGGATGGCTCAGGGTGAAATCCATATGGGCTTTTGCACCTCGAATATTAATCCGTTGTGTTGCTCGCTCTTTGCAGATCAAGCCTTGAAAACCCATCGAAACGGCATTTCAGATTTCACCCTTCGCCCTCCACCCAAAGAAACTGCTCAGATTCATCGCAAAAGAAATTCGCCGGCCCTACAGCCGTCAACACCGGCGGGGAAAAAAAAACTAAAAAAGAACCCTGGGGCTAAACCCTTTCCGGGAAACATGATCGACCCACGAACCCGGAAAAGAATATAGAAACGCAACGCATGGCAACGTTTTCAAAGACACCTGATTGGGTGACGGGCAAATTCAATACTGAGTGTATCGATATTGATCTACCCTGCCGAGGGCTGTGCTGTGCTGCGCCGTGCTGAATTGCGATGTGCCACGCCGCGACTGTGCCCTATAGCGTCGTGGATCGAGTCCTCCTTTGCATCCGAGTCCTGACCGAACGGAT